GTACAGCTCTGTTTGATACTTTTGTTATGATTTTATAATGTATGTGTTTTCCCCTTTGTATCTGATACTGTTGGGTGTCCAAATTTCAAAGGGCCTGCTTATAGTTATCACCACGTGAAAATGGTCATCTGAGATGGAAGATATCTTACGCACAACAGACTTTTCAATGATTTCTGTCACCCAATCTTCTTTGTTTCACTACTTTGCAAGATCGATTTTTGTCTGTAGCATGATTGTAATATTGTGTAATAACATGATAATATAAAACAAGGAAACAAAGCTATTCTCCAAGCAGATGTAGGATGTGTTTGTTATGTATGTTTTAAAGCATTTTAGACACCTTTCTTGACAGTCTACATTTTTTATTCTTCCCTTATCAGTTGAAAAGTTATAAAAAAAACATATAAAACATTATTAAAGCCACAAATTACATTCTGCTTAGAGACCCAACATTTTGAAATTGCTTTTAAATGCAGGCTTTTTTCTGGTAAAAGAAATTATCACAAAAATTATTTTTATCGCTCTTGTATCATAAAAACCATACCGAGTTAACATTCTTCAATATCGATAATATAAATTATAGCCTGGTGTAGAATTTTTCCTTTCAGTCTACAAAGCACCGAAACAAACTTTACTGATTATGCCTGTGCATACGAAGGCATAGATCAGGGCCAGAAGATGGATGGATTATTTTATTTGCACAGTTAATTCCATTTTCATATTTGGTCCATAAGTTGTATGGTCCCACCAGGTGGATCCCCATAAACATGTGTGTACTCAACAGTAATGGTACAGTGAACACACCCCAGCACTGGAGCGGAGTACTGTTCAAATTTATGGCCCCCAGAAGTACGGATTGTAAAACGAAGCGTGCATGCACACATCATTTCCCCTTCCCCTTCTTCCTGACATAACCGGTTTTGTCACCGTGAAATTTTTGTTGCTCTCTGCGTCATCAATTATTCTGCCCCACAAAAATTGATTCCTACGTTTTTGACAACTTATGCGACACACACCTTTTTCTATACAAGTTATATAAAAAATGCAAACCATGAAATGACATGCTTTCTTTGCCTGTGATTTAGAAGAAAAAGGAATACCTATAAAGTATAAAACTATTCTGTACAATATTTTATAGCAAAAATTTCTGTACATGGACATATTAGATATGAAAAAAATGACTGCAGGTGCCCAAAACTAAATTCATTCTCTTCTGATAGATTAAAAGTTTTGTTTTTGTTCTGTAGGTTTTGTAGCAGAACAGTTACAAGAACCATTCTGTAACTTAACTAATCTAACCTATCTGTAATGCTCTTCTGATTAAAATACTTTAGTTGACATTAGGGACAGAAATCAACCCATCAAAAAGACATTCATGTACTGTTTTTTAAACCTCCAAGCACATATAGGCTGGCAAAGAGATAAAACACTTAACTACAAAGAGTCGTGGTGAAATTTTCCTCCCCAAAAACTCTTAGCAAAACCTTCCATCTGCTTGGAGATTACATGCCCCTTGTCTCTAGTGTAACATCTGTGGCTATTTTTTATTGCAGGAGTGAGCAGACCAGGGGGTAATGTTGTGTGTAGGTACTGCACTCAGGAGGGTTGGCTTATGAAATAATTATGTCACACACACCAGTGACTTCACCCTCCTGATATATCACCCCAAAGTGCTGTACCGCAAAATATAGAAATAATCCACTCTTTGATTACCATTCCAAAATCATCAATTTCTAACAATGTGGTTTGTAGAATATGGAACATACCATTAGAATGGATCTAGAGGGGAGGATGACAGTATTAAAAAGGAATGTTATCTGTATTATGTATTTTTTTTTGTTCCATCAATTATGTAATTGAAAAATAGTGATGGATGAAATTTTCTGTGGCTAACCAACCATTTTGTTTGTTTTCTACCATTAAATATGGTCAAATGCGTCACTGTCAACTTTTGGTGAAAAACTGTCTTTGTCCTTTAAATAAAGTTTAATCACCCATCCCAGATCAGATTAGGGGGTCCTGTCCTGGACACAAAATCTCCAAGTACAGTAGATGTTTGAATAGCAAAAGATTTCTGGAAATATCTTTATCCTTGGCTGTCAGAAAAACTGGGTAGCCAGAAAAAGTAATGTTTTTCATCCCAACGTCTGCTTGGAGGTAAGCTCAACGAGGAGAATCAAGTATCGAGTTTAAAAATACTGTAAATTCATTTATTTTTACGAGGATTTACTTTTACAGTCAGGCTTTATTTCACTCACTGTTGAAACAATTCTCGAGTACAATAGTAATGCCACAGTAATAAATCAAATCACTGCAAACATTGATTTTAAAATTTACTTAATATAAACTTCTTATCACATTGAACTAACATCATCACCCACCACCCAAATGTGATTTTCAAGATCAAGGTTGCCAATTTGGGAGATGACTTAATAAATGTGGGGCGTACTGTTAAACATGTTGTGTGTATTCCACATACATGCATCTCTGTAACGTTAATGAGCTTTTTAATGGGAAAAAAGTAATTAAGATCTGCAGGAAATAGATGTTACCTTGTGGAGATGGCAGGTAAAAGATGGGGCTGATAGTGACATTTTGTATATTAATGTTCTTGTGAGAGATAGTATGTTTCAACCTGGTTGATTTATCTGACTGCGCGATACTGTAAGTTCATTTAAGTTTGCTGCATTGAAATTTCGCGGTTACCAAGTCAAAGTGTTCAAAACCAGAATATATAGGCTTAACAGATGGATAAAAGTGAAAGTACATGTATGCTTGAGGCATCAGTTCAGAGAGAAAGTGGGTGGTGACATTCTTAGTTTTTAAGTGTGTCTTGAGTTCCCTGCAGATGTAATATAAGTTTCCCAGATTCTGCATCTTCAGACAGATTACGAGTCACTGGGGATAACATGTCTCACTCCTTCCATCTGTGTTGGTCATGCTAGGGAAAGTCTGCCAGCTAATACTGTAAATCTTTAAATATTCACAGCACATGTAATTTTATGTTCATCGTTTTCTCTTAGAGCGAAATTGCCATACCACAAACGTGCTGTTTAAACTGCAAACTCAAAGAAGTCTTGATTTTCATCAACCACAAAATGTTGCAAAGTTAAAATGAATTTACAGTAACGTTTCTCAAAGGGTCCTTGTGCAAATTTTTCTTCCAATGTCACTGATGTATTCAAGTACCAGTAACTTCTTGCTATAAAAGTTACAAGTAAAAAATTGTCTCCCACGAACTCGCAATAAGATACAACAAATTCCCTACCACTAAAAATCTTGTAAGGTTTTTTTGCACAAAGATTTGGCTGTAAAATATGAATAGGAGCAGATATATGTATGTTTGTTAATGATTGTCATAACCCTCCACTTTATTACACAGTACATCAATGACAAAATGATGGTAGGAACCAGCTAACTCTCTTGTCTATAAATGTAGAACTAGACATATCATTGTAGTTTTCATTAATAGATACAGCGAGAATCCTAACCTATTTAGTACAAACATTGGACAACATATACCCACAGTTATTAATAGAAATAGGATAACGGCTCAAACTTAAGCTAATACCACAGCTTTCCTTTCTAATAGCCACCAGTGACCTATGGCTGTAGATTTAAATCATTCTTGCTATCCTGAATGCCTAGCTGAGACCTTAATCCAGCAGAAGTCAGAGTCAGTAAACTGATCAAGATGGAGTGGGTAGATAATCCCCAGGACACATGTCGCCCTCCTCCCTAGGATTTGTCTTGTAACACCACCCCTTATTGGTTAAACACTTGGGCGGGCCCTTCTTACCTTAAAGTTTCTGTAGCTGGCGATCTCTGGAGTTGGAACCTGCGGTGGTGGTACGGGAAAGCCCAGCGCCAGATGGATTAAAGATGCAGTGGATTTGACAACAACTACTACACCGCTTCATACATGGAAAAAGATATGCACACGCCTGCCTGTAACTGATAGTTTCCCCCACACACTCCAGCTATTTGCATATTCTAGAGGGAGGGTCCCTGGCTGTGCATGTGTTGGGTTTAATTGACAACAGAGGGCATTGCCTGCTGACTAGAACAAATCCCAGATTAACCCCCTATCTTAACTCAGCTTCGGTCCCATCCCTCATTTCAACACCATCTCTCCCCCCTTACCACACAAGCCCTGAACTTCAGGACCAGACTGTAGGTTCAGAAGCGGGAGGGTAACTTGGGGTGATGGCATTTCAGTAGTTCCACCCAAGAACAGGTGGAGAGGTTGACATGGGGATCTGATTTCATTGATAGACAGGCAACAGCTCTGACACTGAAATTTCTGGCCTGCATATTATCCCAAAACATCAGAAATCATATCTGGATATATCAGAGTACAAGGGCTTACATGTGTGCCAAGGACTTCAGACCAGTAGTTACATGTACAACAGACTCAAAATGAAGCTTATTATATCCCATGTTAAGTATTTCATACCATATATGACGTAACTTATAGAGTGTATATACGTGTATCAACATCCCAATGAAATTATCGAGCAGTACATACATGTAAGAAACTTAGAAAGTGCTTGGACATGAAAAAATCTGTCAAAGATTACACAGTGTATATTTTAGCTCCAACCTGTAAAGTCCTGTGTAGAGTTAGATAGAGTTGTTCTATAAGTTACCATACAATTGTTTAAAATAATTATCTATAAGCAAAAGATTTGTCTTGTTGAATTGTTATTCAAAACTTTAAAAAAATTATTAAAAATGTTGCAGAAACATGTATGTAGGACAAAATTTTCAAACCCTTCCATAGATTCTTCTGGAATCTTTTATGTACTTCAGCACTTTAACTTAAGTTTGCCATTGACATTCACCTCCACAGAGAAGGAGCACCTACCTGCCATCAGTTACCTGACCTTTGAAAACTAATTAGGACAAGGTGATCACCAAGTAGTTTGTCTCCTTCATCTTTGGTATGAGAAGCTATTCATTATGAACTGACATGTTTTATCCTTTCCCTCACCCTCCAGACCTGGGAGAGATCGAGCCAAATGTGTTCCTGGGACCTTTTCTGGACGTCATACGATCGGAGGATACCACCGGGCCGATAACAGGACTGGCTCTCTCCTCCGTCAACAAGTTCCTTTCTTATGGACTCGTGGGTAAGGATATAGCCACTGGACATGGGGAGGGGGCATTCTGGTCATAACTCACGGAGCCACGGTGGTCCAAACACAGAGCTCGAGCCAGCACCAGTTTTTCTGTCAATTGCCTGCAGGAACTTTGTGGTGTGTGACGGAAATTTTTAAAAAACCAATCCGTCAAACTTGATGGACAAAATTGGCAAAATTGGTAAAAATATAAAAACATAAGAAGGACCACCAACAACTACTTTCACCCCGTGGTTTGCCTCTCAAAATGTGGAAAATTGAGTTTTTAAAGGCTTGAAAATACAAAATTTGGATCAGTGGCATCAGTTAATAGCAAAAATTATTGGGATGTTTTGAAGCAAAATTTTTATGTGTGTGAGAGCTTTGATTGGCTATAAGTCACATTTGTCATCTGTAGTGAAAGGGTCAAAACAGGTGCTAGTATTCCTAAGTTCTCAAATGAAGAGTTATTCCAAAGCAAAAGTACACTTTTTAAGCTGAACTACATGTATAATGTACATGCAACTCTGAGAGAACGTGTGTGTAATAAGTACAAGGTGCTGGACAGAAAATTACAGTTTGACCTCCTACTGAACTTTTATCTTCTACGTGAACCTTGAACAGCTTTTGAACTGAAGCACAGTCTTGATCAAGTCCATGTCCCTCTAACACATGAAGACTTGTGCTCGTAACTTTTCCTCAGATCCGACCAGCGAGAGCGCGTCGGCGGCCATTGAGAACATGGCGGACGCGGTGACCCATGCACGGTTCGTGGGCACCGATCCCGGCAGTGATGAGGTGGTGTTAATGAAGATTTTACAGGTGAGAGAGAAGCCGTAAGGTCCCTGTCTGTTTCTTAATCAATACTTAATGCATTAGACCTGGTATTGCTTTATACATGGTAAATAGGTAGGCAATTAAAATTACTACGGTACTTAGGGTCTAGTTTGAGAGTCATTTTGGTAAGAAATTGAATGAAATTTTACGTCAATATGGTTAATGACCTTGCTGCTTCATAATATGGATGAAATTCCATGGATCCAGAGAGCAAAGGCACCAACCCCGCTAGGGCATGGTGTGAGGAGTTATATTAGTCCTTTCAGATGGTGACATAAATCCAGCAGCACTGTGTATGAAGGAGCTTCAGGTGTAATCTTGGGAATCAAACCTCTGCACATGAAAGAACTAAATACATTTGGTGTGCTTGGCTGAATATGCAAGCAGTAGCAAACCCACATTGCACTACTCTGCTAGCTACAATGTAATTTTGAAAAAGCATCATACTTTACCTAAGTACCAGAGAATGACAGCTTTAACCTTGGAAGAAGTGTTGTTAGGGAATTGTTTTAGATGGTCAAGCACTATAACATACATGTATTACATACTGTAATATAGGTCTGTCACCAGGGCTACTAAAGACCTGTAGTCCAGTACTAGCCAGAAAAAAAAACATGGCATGTTTGTTTTTTGTTGTCCCTGCTGAACATGTTACATGGACAGATTCTGCTGAAGTTGCAAGTCGTCTGTTGACCTGCCCTGTTAGAATAGACTGATGCTGCCCTGACTCTGACACACATGGAACCTACCATCAGAATTGCCAGAGTATTCATTCATTGTTGAGGGGGAAACGTTGAATTTTTTTTGTAGTAAATGCCAAAGGTGCAAGATATCTAGGGGTCCTGGTATTTCGTACCCTCTGAAATGCTATTTTCAATACTACAAACATGTATTTGAGTATGCAAGTTGGGTATGTTTTCATAAATTTTGAGGTAACACCGGTGATCTCATAAAAATTGAGGCTCCTCAGGGCATCCACTAGAAAAAAACATCCAAAAAGGCCCAAACGTCCTTTTTGTGGGCACTCTGCCTACCATAGCCTGTACATGTACACATATGTGTATGTTTCTTGTCTTAGAAAAGCCACCTGTTGCCAAGCGCTATCTTCTGGAGGGCATAGGCCCCAGTTTCTCCAAACAAAGGGTTTGAATTATGGAACCCCAAAACCCAAATCTGCCACAGTGATAGACATGGGAGGACAAGGTCTGTGGCTGGACACCAAAACTAGTTCATACTCTAACTGAAACAGAAATTGTTTTATGTTAAAATTCTCATAAAATACAGTGTACCCAAAAACATACTGTAGGGCTGTGCCTATCTACTTTTATAGCCCTTGGGCCACACAGTTGTACAAACACTACAGCAGGGGACTAGTAAACTAGTACAATGAACTTGAAGGGTTTTAATTGAAAGATGAATGCAATCATAAGGAATATATGGTTCATTTCCCTTTCTTTGTACTTCCTTGCTTAGCTTCAAGCAATCTTTGCTGTATGTTGACATGAAGAAAAGTACAATGTTACAAAGTAGCAACTTTTTAACTTGCTTGATCACATAGGAAAGTGACCTTCAAATAATTGTAAATTTCGCAGGACCAGTGAATTGTAGGACAATTTTTTTGTAGAAGGAATTTTTTATTGAAGTATCAAATGAAATCATTTTTATCAGAGGGTTCCCTGAAATTTGGTACAATTTGGTACATGTGGTTTGCACTTTTACTGGTAAGTCATCCAGGGTTGGACAAGTCCCATTGCCCACTTGCCCAGGGCAAGTAAAAGTACTGTTCGGGCAAGTGAATATCCCCCTGTACTTGCCCGATTGGGCAAGTAAATCTTTTGAATGCAATGTATAGCCCCTGCAGTATTTCGACCAAGTTTCAAACAATGTTGATAAATAAAGCGTCCAACATTGGAAACTGTATTATAATGAAATAATTTCCTTTCTGCTAGGAAAATGCATAGAAATGCCTCATATTTTGGGCAAGTGAAAAGTTGGTTCGGGCAAGTGAAAATGACCAGGTACTTGCTCGATACGGCAAGTGGATTTTTGAAAACTTGTCCAACCCTGTCATCTGAGTACTGTATTGATTTGACCTTGGACTTGAAAACCTGAACATCCCCTTTCCCTTCCCACCATGAGATACAGTACTACCAACAGCTGTGACACTCATAAATCTGTCATATCATGTCTATATAGTTGTGAACCTTCCCATGTCCTTGAGCCAGGTGTCATGTTTGTTTTGTTAGAGATTGAACTATGTGTCCAACAGTGGTCAAGAAAACTGTCATACACATTGTTAGATGCTACAGACACATAGATATACATGACATTGACATTGTACGTTTAGGGGGGGTCCGCATGCCCTTTTCCGTAGAGCGTAATCGGCCGTTTTAATTCTCTTAGACCGTAGACGGACCACTCTAATTCAACGTAGAACATAATTGGCACATTTTGCATAGAGTGTAAACTGCTGTGTTGATTCTACGTAATGCATCGTAGCTACCCAGAATTTATCGTAAAACATAGCGGGGGAGGCTTCTTGACTTCAGCGATGATAAGTAGCCTGCTCTCACACAAATTTAGGGTAGAACATTGTCGGGACCCCCCATGCAGGCCCTCGTTTAGTACTTTGTTAGGACTCCCCTATAAAGTAAACCAGAAGTGAGCACTACATACCATAGGTCACGGTTAGTGTCAACAGCTAATCCACTCCTAAGCTCTTCCTAATCCTTTCAACACCAAGAAGTGCTTCTCACATGGTTGCCAAGTATGTGTGAAGTGTGCTGATGAAGGATTGGCAGACAAGTGGTGCTGTCATGCCCTATCTGCCCAGACCTCCTCACCCCAGGACAAGTATGTAAACACAGGCTTTATCCTAATCCCCTGTAATCTGCTAAGGATCAACACACTAATCCACACTCTGTGATCTCCAGGAAGACCTACAAATTGAGATCTTACCTTTGTCAGATGCTGAGCACACTGAAAGCACACATGCAGGGGGAAATGGCAGAGAGCACGTGTGTGTTTAGAACTGACTCCTTGACTCTGACACTAGTGACTGTGCCATGTGGGCTCCTCCAGATAAAAGATTAATTTGGGGGGAGAAACTATGTAGGGTCATTTCCTCCCCCATGGGACAACAGTGAGCTCATGTAGCTTACTTTCTCCTCAGGAAGTTTTAGAAATTATGACAAAGATGATTGAAGACAATATGCAGAATGTAAGACTTTGAAATTGGAAGTGTAACTTCAGAGATGGTATCACTTTTATTTTGTCTGAAGAGGTCCTGGACTTAGTGCACTTTGGAAGGGGTCAGTGCCAAGCCCCTCCCCCTGATTTTGTGGTAACTCTATCCCCCCAGCTGGCTCATTCCATAGAACCATTTATCACTCTTCTCTGTCTCCTACAAGACTAGCCTGTAGTGTTCCAGGGAACATCAGATAGAGTGTAAGGTCCTGGTTTCAGTCCTGGTCTCTGCACTTCTTTTAGGTTGTAAGTTCCCACTCCTCAGTTTTAGGAGACTAGTACATAATATATGCCATTATTTTAATGCACCTTGAAAATTGTGTGATTCCTCTAATCTGAAACCATGCCAAAATTGAATAGGCATGATTTTGTTTTGGTGATTCTTGAACATGCTTGGAAAAACACAACAGACACACAAACCCACAATTCAGCCACCCAAAACAATACTCCCGTACCCATAAGTAAACATATTTAATAGCAAAGGTAATGTGTAAGTACATGTACTACATTGTGCTTTACCAGAAATAAAAGTTCACAAGGCCGCGTAACCTCCATAACTCGCAACATTTTGGCGCATCAGAAAATGTCAGGTTGTCAGACTGTATTTCCGATTGATGCCTTCTTTTTGCCAGGTTGCCCCCTATTCTATGATAATCTTGAATGAGCTGTTTTCCTTCCCTGGGTCTTGCCAAAGTGGCACCACATGTTTTCCCCATCTCAGCCCACTTTATGAGCCATTAGGAGAAAGGTATTGATTTCATCTGACAAGGGAGAGCCATTCATTTCCTCCCCCCACTGTTTTTGCAATCTCAGGCCCCTCCATCAAATCTATCCAGTGTTTGTTCTTGTTGTGTTCTCACAGGGTTTGGCTACCATTTGTCTTTCCCAGGGAATATCACTACTCACAGGGACAGGGATCGTTTTGGTCATGGAAAATTAGGCAAAACACAATTTTGAGTCCAAGAACTAAAATGCTATTAACCTTTTAGCACACTGAGTAGCCATTTAACTATAGCGATTTTCTATTTGTTACGAGTGAGGCAGCAGGGAGAAGGTTGATATTAGAAAATGTGTTACCAGGGTAAAAGAGCCCAAATTAAAAAAATCTGAAATGAAATTTTTCAGTTTTCAATTGTCATTCAAATTTTATCAGATGCTGTAAATTTCTTTTTACCCACGTTTTTTCACAAGTCTTCCATAGATTATCTTGTTTTTCATGATTTGTGAGGTTGGTCCCTTTGCACTTCATAAAACTAAGCCATTTAGATAAGAAGTCGCCCCACAAAGACCACAGGAGTGCCAGGAGTCGACCTTGTTTGTTCAGATTGATGGAAGTGACCTGGACTGAAGGTGAGATGGCCCAGATGGCCATGTTCAAGGTTAACACTTAACATTAGGACGACCTGCAATGCTTGTGATTCTAAGTTGATGAGCATATTCCTAAGCAGCTACATGTACATTCAGGTGTCTAAAGAAGCAAAAGTACAATTAAAAAGACAACATACATGCAAGGACATTCAACACAAACGTCCTTGATACATGTAACACAAAATGTTTCAATCATTCAAATCTTTTGTCGCTCAGTCTTGTGGGGGCCGGTGTACGTTAAATTGTAGTGTACTCTGCTGTATGTTTTTTCTGAGCTTCTCTTTTTGATCGTTTGTTCTTAGTATTCTCCAAATCCAACAAAGTTCAGTCTTCCTTAGCAGTACAATGTGTACCACTGTTTATATACCTACATCCTACAGAGACCTTCTAAAAATAAGCCTACCCTTCCTGCTATTACAGAAGACTATTTCCTCTGTTGGGCAGCCCACAAGCCAGAAATTAGCCCTGGTCAGGAATGCTATCACTCATGGGTTTTGTCAGTGTGGGAATGTTGACTACACATGTTTGCCTTTGGTAGGATTTGCTAGGGTTGTTTCCTATTGGGGGTCAAGTGGTTGTTAGGAAAACACAGCCAGCATGTGTGTGCAGGGTGGGAGGGCAGGTCTGTCTGGTCAGGGGAGTGAACATGTAACAGGTAGTGCCCATGGGGCTTTGTCTTGAACAGTCAGCCCCAAATTACTGTAAATGTTGAAATGTTAGCAGTGGTGTTATTTTCATTGCTGCAAAATTGTAATACTGTGAATATGGTTGTTATTGTATTGCTAATAATTAACATAATTTGAAATAATAAACATAATTCTACATATAATGGGAAATTATGTTTTAGTAAAAATAAATGGATTTACAGTTTTAGCCAGGCCCAAAACACCTCATAAAAGGTCATTCACCTCAGACTCTTATGATAGTTAGTAGTGAAGTGTGACTGATGTGTCTAATGTTTTCAGGCAGGCCTCTGGGTCATCCCTACTCTTAAAAGTGTGTTGGGTTCTATAAGACTAGTGTTTTGGGTTCTTTTATGTGCCTTTGGCTTTTTGTCACCATCCTAAAGGAAGAATGCAATCCCTCACACCATGATGTCCAAGCGAGGCACAAACTAAGAAAAGTCACTGTATTTTGTGTAAAGCTTATACATGTAACAATCATGAAACTTGTGCTATTTATAATACATTGAATGTAAATATCTAATCTGATAGATTAGACTGGAAACGGAATTTTAAGGTGCTGACGTAGTTATCTTGTTCTGTTCAGGTACTGAGAACTCTCCTCCTCACACCTGTGGGAGCCTACATGACCAATGAGTCGGTGTGTGAGATCATGCAGTCATGTTTCCGCATCTGCTTTGAGATGAGGCTAAGTGGTAAGTTAACAGTGTAGAGTATATATATGTACCTCATGTATTACCATTGTAAAATCAGTTAAGTTTTGCTTGTACTCCTGTGACAATCATTCCAATTACCTGTTCCAATTTTCTCTTACAGAACTTTTGCGGAAATCTGCTGAGCACACTTTGGTGGACATGGTACAGCTACTGTTCTCAAGGTAATTCACTCACTCACTCACTCACTCACTATTAACTGCTTGCAAACATATCCTTGAGATGTAATGTTGAGATATTTGTAGCATAAGTCTAAGTTCTCTTGCTCACATCAATATATTGTCCAAGTACAAGTTTCAGGTTATTCTATATCAACAGCTTATTTCCACAGACTGCAAAATTATGGAAGTAATCTTTCCTAGCCCTGTAAAGTGTTTTCTTGTATTGAACTACACAGGACAATGTAGTAGGAAAAATGTAATTCTTTTTTTTTTTCTCTTTGCTTCAGGTTACCACAGTTTAAAGATGACGCCAAGGCAGGAATTCTGGCCAACATGAAGAAGGTATGTATGTTTTTCTGTGATTCATTGTGAAGCATTACTTCTGTTTTTTAAAGCACAAACTTAAAACATTGTGAATGCCTCCTTTCCCCTTCTATCACAAAAATTAGATTCCTGTACACAACTAACTTACAGTGCTTCCATGTTTTATAGTGATATGTTGACTGAAAAACGAGATGTAGGAAATGGGTGTAAAAAGCCTGCAAAACAACCCAGTAAGCTGTTTTAGCCTTTCAAGAATTTTTTGCTCTTTGGACAATAATCAAGAATTTGCTCACGGTCACAGAAAAGAAATTTATGAATCATAATTTTGTGTCTGAATCACGTCCCAGAACGAGAATTAACTCTTAAAGGAACAGGTGATTGCCTGGAGGAAGATTCCAGAACCTTAATCACAGGCTCTTGTCCTGTCTTGTTTTACATCAGTGAAATTTTCATCAGTTAAGTGTGCTCGTGGGGCTGTCTGCAGCTGTTGAGAGAGATCATACCGTGCCAGTGATTTAGAGTAGTGTAGAGTAGATTTAGATCTAACATGTTATTCTGCACCTGTGAAGTATTACTGAGAATAACCTGGTGCCTTCCTGCGGCCTTGCTTTGGAAGAGTGGATAGTTTTAATTGGAAGGGCCGAAATTTTTCATATTGATAGCAGGTGAATTGTGATTAACTGTTTTTTTCACATCTCTACTGTGAATTCATGACACTGAGAATGTGTTTCCCATATATTATTATGTGCTACAGAATTGTTTGAACCATAGAATTAAAACACCCAAAAATCTCCTTTCCCCATCTACCACAAAATTAGGTCCTTACAATAAAAAAAGAAATGAATTGTACCTACGTCTTGGTGATATATGTTGTGTAATTGGGTTTATTTTGCTTTGTAGTTGAAAATGAGGGCTGGTGGAGTAGGTGACATCCGAGGAAAACGTGCCAAGCGCTCCCCGCGGCCACGCCAGAAGAAACCAGTGGCAGAGAAACCTGCCGTGGAGAAGCCCACACCCGTCCCCGAGCTCCCTGCCAGCGAGGAACCCACGCCAACCCCCAGCCCCACACACTCCTCCACCACCCCCACCAACTCTGCAGCCACCACCCCCGGGGATGTCACCCCCACCCCCTCAGTACCGGACAGCGGGGTGGATCTGTCGGTCAGGGAGTCTGGCTCGGACGGAGAGCAGGAGGTACGAGAAAACAGCGAGGGAACGGAGGAAAAAACGGAGGAGACAGGAGTGGAAGAGAGATTGAACGAGAGTACAGAAAGCACTGGTGAAATGAAAGTTAGTGTTTACCTTATATGTATTTGTGCTTTTTTGGATACATGTACAATGTATGTCATTGTTACATAATAACAGTATTACAATGGAAATAATACAAACTATCTCATAAAAAAAGCTATCAATTTACCAAAAGATGTTTGCAACACATCCCTGTGAACTAAGCAGAATTTCCAGCAAATTCCTGCAATTCTTGCAGCTGGACATGATATGTATTACTAGGCTTGCCCCTGATCCATTGCCAAAAAAAAAAAAAGCATTAGAAGACATGTACATGTGTTTTTTTAAACCTTAACCATTGTTGTATATGTATTTTGCACTTATAGAAAGCTGGTAGTGAACTTGATTTGGGCACAGACTCGGAGAAGACTGAGTCGTTGCCAGAGAACGCTGAAGACGCAGACTCGGTGAACGAGCAGTCGGACACGGCGTCCATCCAGGACGTACAGGACTCAGAGTACGTCAATCCACGGGGGGTCCGCTTTACTCCACAACAGACACAGAAAGATGGTAAGCCACACTTCTGTACTGTGTCTCACATTTTTCTCTGTTAACCATTGTAAACCATAGTTAGAGTTCAAGCTTTGTTCCAACACAAGAAGGAAACTCACCATAAAGTTTTGGTTGATCTCGTCAACCTTGGTCAGGATATATTTGATGCACTCACTGACTCTCTGGAAGTTGGAAACGTGATGACGTCAGAAGTGCATCAAAAGTGGCGGGAAGACTAAGCCTGAACTATATAACTATGGATTCTACCAACGCAGATGAGCTTTCATTTGAACATTGTAATAATATCTATTATTTTCTGCAAAGCTGTTGGATGTTTACATTCCATATCTTCATTTTTTTCACAGGTTCTGGTCCGCCCGTCCCCTATGGACTACCGTGTGTTCGGGAGCTGTTTAGATTTCTCATCTCACTTACTAACCCTTATGACAGGTAAGAACAGTAAACTGCTTGTTGAGCAATAAACACTATATTAGTATATATATTTTAACAGAATAAACCAGAATGTAATAGCCAAGCAAAAGTTGTTCTATACATGTAGACGGTCTGACCTCAATGAAAATTGCCCCAAAAATGTAACCTTTTCTTACTATATTTAATTATATTAATATGATAGTATTATAAGTTAATCAATGTACACAAATTTGTCTTGCCCTATATCCTTTTGTTAATAGTTTCTGCTGTTGTTTTTTTCCCCAGACACAACACTGATGTGATGATCCACATGGGTCTGTCTCTCCTGACTGTGGCCCTGGAGAGTGGAGCAGAACACATCCCACGTTACAACTCCCTCCTCAGTCTCATCAAGGACGACATGTGCAAAAACCTCTTCTCAGTAAGTTTTATGTACAACAATTAAGAAAACTTAACAGCTCACTGCTTACTTTTGAACATCATGGAGGACGGAGCTAGCTATATAGCTAGCTATAATGCTGCAGGTTAGTGGACAGGGATGTGAATCAGCATATGTCTGCTCAGTTGTGTATCTGTACAATTTCCACAATGTCCCAAGGGTTTCCAGGAATTTCACGTAGTAGGAATGTAGGCATATATGAGTGTCAGCAAAATTCCACATTCCTGTGGATAAAAATTCCTGTACAATTCCTAGAATTCTTGCAGACTGCACACAATACTGTACCATTAGGCTCCTCCCTAAGGCATCGCCAAAAAATCTTGTACCAGAATCAAACTTAAAAAATGCCCTTTTCTCTGGACTCAACATTAACATATATGAGAAATACAAATGAGAGTTGACCACACCACACACAACCACCTACATGTAGTGCTTTTGCATATTACTGTATGGCCCAAGGTATATAGATACAGATATAGGTGCTACTTTATACACTGAGAGATACGCAAAGCGTGAAGTAACTTTTGACTTTTGTACTGTTCCAGCTGCTCCATTCTGAACGGCTGAGCCTGTTCTCTGCCTCCTTACGGGTGTGTTTCCTTCTGTTTGAGTCCATGAGGAGACAACTCAAGTTCCAGCTGGAGGTAAGATGTCAACACAACTCTTCTCTTTTTAAAACAATGCTGATGTACAAATACATGTATAAAAGAAGCTCTTAAGTATGTTGACCTGAATTTCTATTCTAATTGGTGATTGGTTGGGCTGAGTCTTTCTATGATTGGTCAGGATTGGTCAGCTGGTAGCTTCCAATTTGGACAGAGTATGCCATATTGAAATGTCATATTTGATGATATTTACCTTTTCATGCAAGATTTTTAATAGTTCCTTTGTGTTTTTTCCAGATGTATTTGACCAAGCTGATGGACATCATAGTGTCAGAGTCACCAAAGATTCCGTATGAAATGAGGGAACTTTCCCTAGAAGCTATAGTACAGGTACTATTTACCTTTTGAGTTGTTTTGGAAAATATGAATATCGAGTCAGTTGTCATACATTTGTATATCATTAATTCATGACTATTGTATGATGATGATGACTATTGTACCATGAAAGACCACAGAAGACCATGTACAAATGTACAGTGCTTTTATTTGTTTTGGAAGAGATGTTGTAAAGATTTTAATAATCTTACAGAAATAATGGACAGTTTTCTATTCCTAATGATAGTCTACAATGTAAGACAATGTACCCAATGTGCTATGGGGTGCTTGTTTTTCTCCAGTTGTGGAGAATCCCTGGGCTGGTGACAGAGCTATACTTGAACTACGACTGTGACCTCTTCTGTAGTAACCTGTTTGAGGACCTCACCAAGCTGCTCTCAAAGGTAGGAATCAACAGTTACTGTTGTTTATCCAATCAAGTAATTAATAGACCAATTGTAAAAATCTTAACCCTTGTCCTGCTGGCATTTTTTACACAATATTTTCAAATGTTTTGATGTCTTAATCATGTCATAGACCCCTAATTTTTTTTTGCCCTGCAGTGGCATACATGTAGTTACTTCTGCATTCATTATGTCTCACTGCAGTGTGATGCATTGCACAAGAAATACTCCCTAAATTGTACATATACAGGGTGCTGTATAGATGGTACTGTACAGTGTATGTGCAACCCATATATGTAATTATGGGCTAAGCAGGACAAGGCTTTTAACTCTGAATGACTTAATGTTGACAAATATTGCTGTTCGTTCCCAGAATGCCTTCCCTGTACATGGCCTGTACTCCACCCACCTGTTGTCGCTGGACGCTCTCCTGACCGTGATCGATGCCATCGCAACGTACTGCGGAGGGAACCGGGTCGTACCGGTCTCCAAGCAGCCTGGCGGGGAGGCTGGGGAAGGGAAAGCCGCAGACAGTACGTATATACATGTATACTGTACATCCAGTTTAGAACATTCCAGAAACGATAAATTATGTCATACCCGGGCCGTGATAACCTTCCATAACAGTGTTCCAGACCGGGCTGTACTTTACGTTACGGCCAGAGTTTCCATGGCTTACATATAACGGTTACTAATTCGAACGCGTGTCACTCTAACAGCATATGTCGCTTTCGAAAATTCAAATGCAGGATTCGGAAGTTGGAATTGATGTTGTTGAATTTTTGGTATAGGGACACCAAATTTATGCTCATTTCACAATGAAAGGCGCATTTGCTTGGGTGGGTACAACATGGTGTATTCTATGCTCAAGACTTTTCTGAAAACAGTTGATAACACCATTTTATTCTGTGTTATGTAGCTGTGTTTTAGGGTTCATGGTGGAATTTTTGGAGTTTGCAATTTACACAATTGACATACATGTACTATATGATTATCCTCATCTGTAGCAACAGAGAAGGATAGCACACAGGTTTCTGAAGGCCAGGATGTGAAGAAGAGTACAGAGACAGTGGCCACCATCCCCAGCACCCTCCCAACAACAGGCTACGCCATGGCAGGCAAGATGGAGGCAGGCAGACAGGATAGGGAAGACAAGGGGGGTGACAACGGTAGGTTTGTCATGACTGTCCCAGGAACTACATGTATAAGAATGACAATATGTGTGAGCAAATGCAACATATTTCACTCCCTCCCCAATGCAAAAAGGGATTGTTACACAATCACTCCAATGCTAAGATGGATGATTTTGAATTATGTTGCTCAAAAATGGACTTTTCCAAACTCACCCCAGTTCAAATTAGCCTTTCCATTTTGACCCCATGCAAGAATGGCACCTTCCAAAGACACTCCCACACTAAATAGACTATTCCAAAATTATCTCTGCCAAAAATGTACTTTTCAAACATCACCCAAGTTCAAAAGTTCAAAATTGAATTTTTCCAGACACACCCCCTTGTGCAACAATGAACTCTACCAAACCCATATGTAACTTTTGGCAATGTTTTGTCATGTAATCATGTGTAATGGATGTGTGTCATGTAATGTGTGTGTGGTTGTTTTACAGGAGCCAGTAAGGTAACCAATGGAGCGGCCGGCGTTCCACCTCAGCTGAAGTACACAGACACAAGTTCACTGCCAACACCTCAGCAACTACAGGAAGTCAAGCAGAAGAAAAGGGTAAAAAAATCTTCTTCACTAAAACAAGTAACAAGAAAACATTGCAACAACCTAGCAGGTGTAATGCTTGCTTTGCATTCAAGAGTTCTGGGTTTCTACATGTATGTTAAGCACTCACCACTCAGCAATTATGAGAAAGAAGAACGTGCTAGTTGAACATGCTCCATTACTAAGTGCTTGCACAACTGTGTGGCCCAAGGGCTATAGAAACAAGTGGGCACTGTCCTTTACACCAAAAGTTTGAAGGATTTTAGCTACATGTAACTTTCTTTAATGAATATTGAACAAGACTAGATACATCAAATCTAGTGTCTATTATCATGATACTACCAACAACAGAAGTAAACTTTTTTCTTTTCTTTGCAGCTGTTAGAAACAGGTACAGAGCAGTTCAACCAGAAGCCAAAGAATGGAATCGCCTACCTTCAGAAAAACGGCCTGATGTCCACCCCCCTGGATCCAGTGGAAGTGGCCACCTTCCTGCGTGAGAATCCCAGACTAGACAAGAAGATGATCGCAGACTACATCTCAGATAGGAGAAATAAGACCGTCATGGAGACTTATGTAAAGTAAGTCACACACAATGTGGTAGTAACTAAGCTAGACTGGTATAATAGCCAATTGGGTAGAGTATTCATTTTGCATCTGGAGTCCAGATTATACCAAAGACTTAAAAAAAACTTTTCCTGCTTAGCACTGGAATTTTGAGAAAGAGAATGGTAGTTGAAACACACACCAAAATGAGTTGACTACAGTGCTTGCACATCTGTGTGGCCCATGGGCTATATGATAGAAATGGAGATGGGCACTGCCCTATATAGCATTGTAAGAAGGATTTTAACTGACATGCAAGAAGTAATGAGCAAGGTGACAGATTTTCAGTGCCTCTGAGAACCTATACCATACATGTATGTACATGTGTTTTGATTCCTTGCAGGTCGTTTGACTTTGAGCACACCAGAATAGACGAGGCCCTGCGTATGTACCTGGAGGCCTTCCGGCTGCCAGGAGAGGCACCCGTCATCTCCATGTTACTGGAGGAGTTCTCAGAACACTGGCATGTGAGTAGCAGGTTGATATTGTTTAGGTTACAGGAACATTGTTCATCAACATTCTAAAGTATGTAGTAGTTGGAGTATCAGAGATGAGGGTCTATAATAGATATCCTTTCTTGTGAGACTGAGACAGGTTTGTTTCTCCACAGAACTGCAACAACAAGCCCTTTGCCAATGCGGATGCAGCGTTCACCCTGGCCTATGCTGTAATCATGCTGAACGTTGACCAGCACAACCACAATGTGAAGAAACAAAACATCCCTATGACTGTAGAGGTGAGTGAAAATTTTTCTGTAAAATACTCTAATTTTGCAATGTGTGTATTGGTTGGTTAGCCTTTCAACATTCAGGAATTGTTACTGTGACAAATAAGGTAACACAATGTCATGTTTTTGTAATGTTTTTGTGGATATATATTACAGTAAGGCTGTGGCTAACAGACTTCTGTGTCTTTTCCACATAGGAATTCAAGAAAAACCTGCACAATGTTAACGGCCAGAGGGACTTTGATTCTGACATGTTGGACGAGGTCTACACAGCTATTAAGTGAGATTTAATGTTTAAACCATCTTTGAATACATCTTTTTTTCTGTATCTGTCTGCTTCTGTGTTTCTGCAGTGTTGTTTCTGTGTATTCTGACAGAGGGCGTTTGCCATCAGGGCAATGGAGTCTTGCCATCTCTGATTGCCTTGTGTATCTTTTTACACAGAAATGATGAGATTGTGATGCCAGATGAACAGAAAGGACAGGTGAGAGAGAACTACCTGTGGAAGATGCTACTGAGGAGAGGGGGACGACAGGAGGGAAAATTCACACACGCACAGGGTAGGCCAACTGTCAACTACTGTTGTAATACTGAGTGCTGCACAGAGAATCAGTTGGTATAGCATTGGTGGCTGTCCTTGGTGCTGAACTAACAACCCTGATTTTCATAGAGGTAACAAGTAAGCACACCTCTTTTTGAGGTAACAAGTAAGCACACCTCTTTTTTTTTAAAGGCTAAACAAACTAATTTTGTTATTTGTGAAGTTTCAAAGTGCCAAACTTTTTTTTATTCACACGCTCTCATCAGTTTTGGGGCTCCCAGAGGATGTCATCTACATAATCAAATCAACATGGTCTAAGTAACATAACGACTTAACAACTTGATGTTGTTTTGTATGACACTTGATTTGTGCCCTTGCCCCTGGCAGGTGGTGTGTTTGATCTTGACCTGTTCCTGCTGAGTTGGGGTCCCAGTGTTGCTGCTCTGTCCTATGTGTTTGACAAGAGTCTGGATGACAGTATCATACAGAAGGCCATCTCTGGCTTCAGGTAAGGCCTTCTCTCTTCATCAAACCACACTTAAAGGCATCCAAAATACACATCCAGAAGTTTACAATTTGGTCATTTCTTTACACGAGTCAAGTTAATTGAATCTGCCTACATGTAAACACATTGCCTGGTGATATTCAGAGAGTACAAAATGTAAGTGATGTTGTGTCGTCAAAGACCAAATATATTTTCGTATGCAACTGTTTCATTTTGTTAATTTGTCTTGAACAAAAGTTTACCTCAGAATATGATGCCAAATGTTACTTTTTATGATAACGCATTGAAGGTATCATTCAATCGACAATTTAAACAGATGGAAAGATTACCGTTATATATATCATTAGTTGAAGTGAATCCCATGTGTTCCCTACAGAAAATGTGCAATGATAGCTGCCTACTACCAGCTGAGTGATGTGTTTGACAACCTGGTCATCTCACTCTGCAAGTTCACCACACTCATCAGTACTTCTGAGGTGAGCCCTGCCATGACTTGGAAAGGTTGCAAATTTACCCTTCTCCCCAAACTCCCCAGACTATACATGTTGTACATAATACTTCTTACTTTTAAACAAAGAAATCTCCCTAAACACATGACAAACATTGAGAATAATCCTAATATTATATAGTAATGTGGGATATTTTGTAAAGTGAACTCCCATGTTCCCACCTCCAGAGCCCAGAGAACCTACCCGTGGTGTTTGGGAGTAACATCAAGTCACAAATGGCGGCCAAGACGGTGTTCGCTCTGGCCCACCGGCACGGTGACATCCTGCGGGAGGGCTGGAAGAACATTCTGGACTGTATGCTACAACTGTACAGGGCCAAACTCATGCCTAAAGCAATGATAGAGGTTTGTGACTTTCTTCTTCAAGAGGACCATTCTCTTTCCTTTATAACTGCAATTTTGTATAATTCACCAGCCTATATTATGAGAGGAATATGTTTGTGAAATTTGTTGTTTTCCCCATTGTGTCCAGGTTGAAGATTTTGTGGATCCCTCTGGAAGGATATCATTGATAAGGGAGGAACTCCCATCTGCAAGGTATGTCAAACAAGAAAGCTGTATTGCAGTTCAGCCTTATGTTGCTAGGTGGTGTTGATGAGTGGTATACACAAATGTTACACCAGCTTTATTCTTTCTCTCCTGGGATGTACATGTATGTATACAGAAATGATGCCAATGCTCATTTAAGTACTCAAAAACTCTTCATTTTGCAGTGAGCCATAGTAATGTCATGGGCATACATGACTAAGCTTCTATCTCCCTCCTGACAGTTGTTGTTTGTCCTATGTGTTCCCACAGAACAGACAACTCTATCTTCAGCTCCCTGTATCAGATCATCATCCTGAACCCTGAACCTCCTGCACAGAGAGCAGCCACAGCTGAGGACCAACAGGCAACACAACAGGCTCACAACTGTATAAAGGTACAGCTTCTTTCACTGTCTATGTGCATGTACATCCTTAAAGTTTGTACTTGTAAACTTTAGGTACAGGTCTGATCCTGAACACTTGGTATACCTGTACCTGTACACGAATAAGTTGACACAATTTCTTAGATGGGCTGTAATGTGTTCATGTATTTGTATAGAAATACAGAGCAGAGCAACATTTACTGAATATTCCCTTCTCCCCAGGAATGTCAGGTGGAACAGCTGGTGCAAGAAAGCAAGTTTCTCAGGATGGAGTCTTTACAGGAGTTGCTCAAGGTGAGTTTCTATGTTCTTTCTCTACTCAATCTTTTTTTTTTTTGACTGGTTTATTGATGTCAATGTAAAACAGTTTTGCAGAACCCAGGGGTTCTGAATTGCACTGTTGCTCACGATTACAAAGATTAAGACTAAAGACGTAGCCCATCCCATTAAAAGCTTTAAAATCAAACAACATCTATTACAACATATACACATATAAAATCTATTAAAGTAGAGTTTATAAGCGTTAATAAGTTTGCATTGCTGAATAAAATACTTATTAATCTTGTCTGAATCTTGGTGAAAATGTACATGTATGTAATCTACTAATACCATTGAACAGAAGTTTATTAGACAGTTGATGTGCAAAAATGTCCCATCTTGCCCCCCTCCCCAGGCCCTGACCTATGCCTCCCACGGCCCGGAGACTGCAGCCTCCTTAGGAAGCCAGTTTGATGAGGAGGCAGCTGTGTTCAACCTGGAGCTGCTGCTGAGAATTGTCCTTCAGAACAAGTAGGTTCCAGGCTAGCAGACCATCCAAAATAATGGTTTCCCAACTGTCCATTATTAGATATGAAACATCTATCTTGATTCTCTACTTTTCAGTGTAATGTCAACTTTCACAGATCTCATACATGTAATTCTGCCAGGTACTCTAAGACTAGCACACTAAAAACAACAGACTCAGTGTTATTGATACCTTCTGTAGAATATTTTAAACACCTGTATATCTGAAGTGTGCACTTCAGGGAACATTGATAGGTACACTTTTTAAAAGTGTCTTTGTCTGAGGGTACCTGGCTGCAATACCAGTTGTTATCAAAGAATGCAGAGCACTTTTACCCAAACATCATTCACCTCCAACTTGTTAAACCTCCCCCCCCCCCAGGGACCGTATCAGCGCCCTGTGGCAGCCTGTACGTGACCACCTGTACAGTCTGATCGCCAACAGTGGAGAGTTCAGTGTGCTGGTGGAGCGTGCCGTGGTCGGGCTGCTGCGTCTGGCCATCCGGCTGCTCAGGAGGGAGGAGATCTCAGACCAGGTGAACAGAACATTAGTCCATTGACAAAGACATGTCTAACATGTAGAAATAACTACTAACAGGAACACAAGTTAGCTCACAAACAGACACACGGAACAGGCATGAGTAGTGCTGTGTACTGGTTCGCTGGAACTATTTGTTCCGGACTTGTAAAAATGTTTAGGTTCAAGTAAAAAAAAACTGAACGTCATGTCATGTCACATTCCCCTTTTTGTTCTAAACCACTTGAAATCTTCAATTAGTCAAAAATTGTGCTGCAAAATTAAGAAAACATTGTCATTGGGTATCATCAAGTGTCGGCCTCCATAAACTATGTGGCCACAGTTTTGCCCAGACGTGCCCAGCAAACATCATATCTTGCTTCTAAACTCTGGTAGTGCAGTGCTCGCTACTTAATTTTGTGGTAAAGATGCCCCATTTTCCATTGGGAAATGTTATCTGTAAAGTCCCTTCCCTATTTTGTACTGTATGTGCCCTGGGTTTAGGTCCAGACTGACAAGTCTAGACCTGAGCCTAAACCTCTGGACTTGAATCCAGACTTGGACCTGATTGTGGGTTTAGGTACACAGCACTAGGCATGAGGAAACCTTCACAAACACTGCTTTCCTCCTCCCCAGGTGCTATCCTCTCTCCGTGTCCTGCTGACCATGAAGCCGTCAGTCCTGTACAAGGTGTGCCGACAGTTGTCGTACGGCCTGCACGAGCTGCTGAAGACTAACGCAGCCAACATCCACCTAGCCAGGGACTGGGACACACTCTTCACCCTGCTGGAGTGTGTGGGAGCTGGGGCCACTCCTCCTCCAGTGGTACAGTCTGATGTGCCCGGGGAAACCAACAATGTGATAGTAGAGGAGAGCACTGTGGACTCAGGTAAGGGGTTTGTTGTTGTTGTTGTAGCTGAATGATGAAAGGAGCTTTTTGGCCTTTATAGATCTGACCTAAGAAAAGATGTAGTTGAAATTTCCACTTCTGTAAATACATGTACATTTGTACCACTCCTCACATGTGCCTTTCAGGATACGAAGCAGCCCTAAAATTTTATTGCCAACAGTTGAAGAAAGTTGTGTTTTAACTTGCTTGAGTTTTTCATTCATCAATGCTTTGATAGATGAATATTCATCTGTTTGAAACATTCTATATCAATATGTTAACTTTGCAGCTTCTGTGGTAGCATTTTGGTCTATCAGGGTTTTTTTCTTCTGCTTACCTGCTGAGATTTGATTGGCTTGGTGTAAAGTGCTGATTCTGCCCCACAGGTGCCCAGTCAGACAGTGAGGTGGCAGTAGAGCACGTCCACTCCAGTCTGTCATCTGATCGTGGCTACACGTCTGACAGTGAGCTCTACGAACCCGCCACTAAACACCACAAGAACAGCACTGAGGGGGAGGGCATGAAACAGTCCACCAGTACAGGATGGCTGCTGGTCGGTACACTCTCATTGTTGCTGTTACATTGTAAGAGGCAATAGCTTTGATGTTCTTATATTATGTATTATAGTATTGTACCTTGTAACCAGTTAACATGTTATCTTTATTTCAGGTCTTGTATTTATAGTAGATTTCTTATTTCATGTTTGTCTGCACGTCTGTACATGTGGGTTATCTAATACCAGTTAACACTGCCTTGATAACCTGTGTCTTGACCTGTTGTCATTGCCAATAAAGAAAGAAAGAATAGCTTGTGTGCTAGTTTAAATAGGTACACTTTAGCATGGGAGAAGCTTCTGAAATGAATTAGCAAGGTTCTCTGTGTGTTTCTTTTACCATGAATAGTGTATTACTGGAGATTAAAAAAAAACATAGGAATTTCATCAATATCAGTTGGAGGTTTGGAAATGTTAGTAGTATTGTTGTTTCACAGGGATTCTCTTTTTTTACCTTTCGTAAGGAGTTGTTACTGCACAGCTCCCTCTGGCAGAACTTACAGAAACTACAGCTAATCCAAAGCATTCCTACATGTCTGTCTCCCTAGGTTGGTAAAGATGATGTTGACAGTAACGGCCAGAAGCCTGCTGTCCCTCCTGTAAACCAGTACGTACTGACGATAGCAGAAGAGCTGCGTAACCACGACCCCAAGTCGCTGGCCAAGTGCTGTGAGACCCTGTCCTTCCTGGTGCGAGACGCCGCGCACGTTACTCCGGAGAATTTCGAGTCCTGCGTGCACTGTCTCAGGGTGTTTGTGGAGGCAAGCGTCAGCGGAGGTAGTCAATTTCGTTTGATTTTTATGTTTTCCGATGTTGTCTTCTTCTTCAAACTCATTGATTTTTTTTCAAAGCTCCAAAATGGTTAATCTTGGTAAGGAAAAATAATGGAGTAGTAGAATAGAACAAGGCCATTAGAGAGGCAATGAAAGCAGGCTCCAGACCCTCTAGCAGAACATGCAGGAACTGCAGTTTGGACGCACACACAAGCCAAAAGTATTACTAGAGGTGAAGCAACAAATAATAAAAAAAATATTGTACAAATCATGAAAACATCTGGAAGATTTCTTTAACCTCAATGATTTTGAACATGATCAGAAGAATTATTATTGAACTAACAAATATGTATTGTGTAGCCAAACCTAAGGAAGAGAAGAAACCAAAGCCCCCGCAGAAGGAAGGAAAGAAGTTCCGTAAGAAGAAAGACCACGGGATGAAGAAGTCCAAGTCTACACCTGCACACCTGTCTCACCTGTCTGATGATGAGCAGGACAACGAGGGTCCACCTGGGGGGTACCATGAAGTGTGTCTGAAGGTGAGACAGTCACACACCTGGGGTTTCAGCTCACTGAGTCTTGCTTGGAATAACATTGTATTTTATGTTATCAGACATTCAGTATTGCAGTACTTTCTGTGTGCAAAGATTGCTGTATGAAAGTATGCCATCCAAGGTATAGCTTTATAATGTAAGAAAATGGCCTCTTTTAGTCATAAATAGTAGTAGAATTCACGGTATAACTGGCCAAAAAACTGACATACATGTACCACAATATTGCATGTATCAATTTGATTTGCTATCATTTTTTACAATTAGAATAGAACAAATGTATATTGTTTCACATGTATTTGTTGTTTTACTAGTATTTTATTTATCTTTTCTAATATGTTCGATCTTCCCCCCCTAGCTGTTGGACCTGATGCACACGCTCCACACGCGTGCAGCCGCCATCTTTAGTGCGTGGGCGGAGGAGGAGAAGGCCCGTCGGCAGAAGGGAGGGAAGGACGTGAACGGTGTGGAGATCGACGCAGGCACCAGCTCTCTCTGGAACAAATGCTGGTGCCCGCTTCTGCAAGGTGGGTGCAGTTTGCTCCTATCCTGCTAGGTGGCAATGTGAAATATAATTATAAATCTTGACATTTCTGATGTTATCTTCTTATAAAATTTGTAGTTTTCATGATCCTGCTCCACTATAAAGTCATGGCAACACTATGAATATGACACATTGTGCTTTTGTGCCACACTATTGTTTTGACTGTGACTGTAAGACATCGCAAAAAATACTGTTTCCGCTTCTACCATGAAATTCAATCCCTTCAAAGTCTAAAATTAGTCATTGGTCTAAGAAAAGCCATTAAAACCTTGTCCATATCATGCTACCAGTAGTCTTATTTTGAGAAATGATTGTTAGATATCAGTCCTGACCTTGTGTTGTTGTGTTGTTTACTGCAGGTATTGCCAGGTTGTGTTGTGACTCCAGACGACAGGTGCGGACATCGGCCATCACCTACCTACAGAGAGCCCTGCTGGTGCACGATCTACAGACTCTGTCTGCTGTGGAGTGGGAATCCTGCTTCAACAAGGTACTCACACAGATACACAGACACACTAGTCTCCACCAGACTAACAACTGGGGTAAAAAAAAAGAAGTAAAATTTAGCCAATAGGGATAATAATTTACTGTAGGTGTTAAGCCGGCATAGAGTTCATTTACCCACAGAAAGGGAAATCAACCCTAGGCCTCTTCCGGACTGACTTCCTGGCCAACTATTTTCCCCTTTTTTACCGATTTCTAGGATCCGTACCCCATAGGAAGACCTGGTAGAGACTGCATACTCACATTAAACTGTCAGCTTTGTATGGTACTGGATAGAGCAGAATGGAACACATACACAAGCTAGGTTGTCTCTTTCTGGTACACAAGTATTGTTTGGGGTAGCTGAGTTGTTTGTTGGTTTGTGTGATTAGATTGACAGCACAGGGGATGGGGAGATTGACAGAATGATTCAGACATGGGAAACGGGGTGAATGCGAATGTCTCAAATTAAAACCCCAAATACTTCTCAGAAGTCTGAAGTCTCTGATTTCTAGTGTAAGATGTTCTCATAAACCCCATGACCACCCTTGTGTAAAATGTTCTCATAAACCCCTTGTGTGCCCGCAGGTTCTCTTCCCCCTCCTGACTAAACTGTTGGAGAACATCAGCCCTGAGGACACAGTAGGGATGGAGGAGACACGCATGCGTGTGTCGGCCCTGCTGTGTAAGGTGTTCCTACAGCACCTCGGGCCCCTGCTCTCCCTCTCCACCTTCACAGCACTCTGGCTCACCATCCTGGACTTCATGGACAAGTACATGCATGTGGACAACAGCGACCTCTTGGTGAGAGGCTTAGAACTGCAGTTTTGTCAGATCATTCCAGCATTTTATACTAGTCGGCAGGTGTCTAGATCAGTTTGATATTTAAAGAGATGATGTATAATTATTTAGAGAGAGCATTCCCAAAGTCATCTCAAATGGACACCAACATGGAGGCAGACACAGCTATTTGCATTTCAGTGGATCATAGCTCTAGTGTTTTCAAGCATCTAGAGATCTTCTGACACTCAAATAACCTTTTTTTGTGTGCGTAGCTCGCAGAAGAGAATTCCCAATAAAACACATGAACACTTGCCAGTAGAATTTGTAAATGTGTACGGCTGAGCTACGTTCCATTGAAATGAAAATGAAGGACACCAACATAGTGGTCAGAACATAGTACTTAGCCCGCTTCATTGGTATGAGTGTAATGCATGTCTTAGATCTCTCTTCACTTGTAACAGATTGTCTGATGTTCTAAATGTTTCCATCTGTGTCTAGTTTGAGGCCATCCCTGAGTCGTTGAAGAACATGTTACTGGTGATGGACACAGCCAGTATCTTCAGGGAGGACTCCACCCCGTCAGGATACACCCAGCTGTGGTGTATCACCTGGGAGAGGATTGAGTGTTTCCTCCCCACACTCAGGCACGACGTGTTCAAGGAGCATCATAAGGAGCAGAACACAGGTACACACAAACTTCTTCTTCTTGGATACCCTCTCACCACCCCTAACTGGGTGACAGTGGTATGTCGCTATGGCAGGGTGGCTGCCAGCCCGGCCTTAAAAGCCTTAACTGTCCTGGCCTGCACAGCTTGGCCCGGCAGTTGATTCCACTCATGTATTGTTTATGGGAAAAAAAAGAAAACCTGAAGCAATCTTTACATGCAGTGATAAGCTGATATTTGTATTCTCTGGTTCTCCTTTGGGTGTGCTTGAGGTACTTGTAACTACGAAAGTTTATGATTCCATTTACAATCATGTACAATGTAATTAAGAGGGCGTGTGGGTACTGTAGAGTTAGAAATGTTTGTGGTGGTTATATTTATGCAGTAACCTCTTCACAATAAAATTAGGATGTTAGATATACATGTATGTCTTTCTATTGAACTTAAAACAAAAACCTCCTCCCCCCTCCTACCACAAACTCTTCACTGTGTATCTGCACATCCCATCTTTGCATGTTTACCTGTGCGACATTTTACGTCTACAGTAACTGAGTCTTGTCTCCCACAGAGAGAAGAGTGGCGTCCCCCTCACCTCCACCCCCCTCACCCCCCACAGTAGTGGAACAGCCCCAACCCAGCAGCAGTCCAGAGAAACCCCGGTCAGAGACCCCAGTGCAACCTGCAGCCAGCCCTGAACCTACGGCCAAACCTACACAAACACCCAGTAAAGGTGAGTTCTTTTGGTCGTATTGTGCACTAGGGAGCATGGTACATGTGGTGTTATGACTCTGCTTGGAGCTGTTTTTTTTTTTTTGCTTTTTTGCCACACATAAGGACAGGAGATTGCTGTGTATTATTATATTTGGTTTGTTGTGAATATTATAAATCCTGCCTTGAAGGAAAAAGCACATTTTACTCATCACACATTCACTTAACAAAATGGGCATGCTTTGGTTACCATGTGAGCCTATTAGATCCGAGAAACGTTAAACATTGATTCTTGAAACTTTGGTCATTTTGTGTATTTTTTCTCACTAGTTATTCCAGCCCAGGACGTTATGATGCACTTGCCTTCACCATTTGCTCTATGAAATGTTGCGCATGCAGGGGGGAAATGTAGGGTGAGTGCAGTTCCTACCACTTCTGTATGGTGGAGCTGTTTTGAAAGGTCTGATAGATTCACATGGTATCAAGGGTTTACATAAAACATGGTGATGGTGTCATGAGGGGTTAGATCTGTGTTAGAAAACAAATACTTCTCATTGAAAGTTGAAAAAAGGACAATCTTGTGTTGATTTTCAGAGTCTCCACAAGCAGACACTCCACCTGCCCAAGACGAAAACCCCCCACCCCTCCCCACGTTCATCCTACAACCCCCTCTCCCTGCCGTGTACTCCCCGGGGAAGCCCAACCCCACAGACGGCCAGCCGCCCGCTGTGCCCATCGTACTCAACCCTGAGGTCATTCAGGGAACACCTATCCCCATGCTGGCTGCTCAAGAGGCACCACCCTCCGTCACAACAACTTCAAACTAACCTGCTGCACCCTCTACCAGCTTTGTACAGAACTACAGGGCCCCTCAAGAGGCACCACCCTCCGTCACAACAACTTCAAACTAACCTGCTGTAGCACCCTCTACCAGCTTTGTAAAGAACTACAGGTATTCTCAAGAGGCACCACCGTCCGTCACAACTAACTAAACCTGCTACATCACCCCCTGCCAGCTTTGTAAAGAACTGCAGGGCCCCTCAAGAGGCACTATCTTCTGTCACAACAACTTCAAACTAAACCTGCAACAGCACCCCCTACCAGCTTTGTACAGAGCTGCAGGTTATTTCAAAGTAGTAATACCAGTAAGTCTTGCGCAGGCAAAGGTGCTTGTAGTGTATGGCTGTGCTAAAGAGAAATTCTGTATGGTTACCCTGGGGATGTACAGCCTGAATAACTACTGACTAGTAGTCTTGAACTTATGCACACATTGCAGTATCTCTTATTTAGTATCTACGTAGGAATAAGTCCCCAAATAATTACTATCTCTTTCTGTATGCATATTTCTTCTTTTGGACGCTAACATTACGTGATGTATAAACCTTTCTCGATGTTTAAAATTTTGGGATGTCGTGTCAGTATTGTTTGATCTCTGGCTATTGTTTTGATGTATTATTATTGTCAGGAAGGATACAATGTCTCTGGCAGTAGACATTAGTACAGTTTGTTCTGGTGTTGTTACACTTGTGCCTGACAGGGTTTTCTAACCAGTATTTAAGGTGCAATTTCCTCTGTATTTTTAAAAGGTTTTGTAGGATGTCAAACAAAGTGTGTGTAGATGGATCCTTTAGTTGCTGTTTTACTGAGTTTAGCATTTATGAATGGGTGTACATGATGATGAATTATTCAGCATGTGAGTAAAGATTACAAAGACTGGCCTTGGCCACTTGTGCAATGAGATAATATATATAAAACGTTTTTGGCAGCACCACGAGGGAGGAGCCGTTTAAGCATTTCCCCCAACCTCCATTTACAGATGTGGAAAGAAAATGCACTACAGTCTGAAATAAAGTGCACAAGTTTATACTTTTTTGCTTGATAAAGTGGAGGTTTTCACCTTCTTCAAGTATACATGTATATGATCAGATATGGGAATGTATTATGATGTAACAGATGCTGCTTGTCCAACTGTATTGTAACAACAGCTGTACATTACACATCAGTAGTTAGGATGTACACAAGGGACAGTATTTGTACTGTTGTTTAATTTGAGTGTTATTAAAGACCAGTCAGAAATTTTCAAAGAAGATGTACATACGTGTACAGAATATTTATGATTTTTGAAGAGATGCATTTTTTTGTCTCGCAACACGATGACAGTATGTATCCAGGAGCCTCCATGAGTTAAAAGTTGAACTATCCTGTCACTGCATGGAAACTGTTGTATAGGTGTCATCAGTGTAATGTTACTACCATGGAAATAAAGAAATGAAACAGAATCGATCAAGATGGACTTTTTTGTGTCTTCTCCTATAACTGTGAGGAAAGAATTGGAAATGTTGTAATGTGTCAGATTTTCCCACTTCCACTATGACAACGATCACCTCTGTCAAGAAAGTTATGTTGTAAATTTTAGGACGTTATTATTGAAATTTTGGTGATAGTCGCTATGAAAAGTATTGGTAAAAAAATAATTGATTACGGGATCAAAGGTAACGTTTGGTACTGCAGGAGCAATGACATTACATGGTACTTGTATCTTTAGTCTTTATTGAAATCAACATGGCATTGTACATGCATGAATGGCATTGATTTTCACATGTTACACTGACTGATACTAACATCAGTTATAAATGATTGAACACACACCACACCACATTACTGATACTACATTGTAATTCCAGTTATAAAACATTAAAAAGAACAACCACACTGACAGTTATGAATCAGTAAAAAAGTCACATCATACAGTGACTGATACTAATATCAGTAATAAATGATTGAACACACCACATTACTGATACTAATTCCAGTTATAAAACATTAAAAAGACAAACCACACTGACAGTTATGAATCAGCGAAGAAAGTCACATCATACTGTGACTGATACTAATATCAGTAATAAATGAAAACACACCACATTATTGATACTAATTCCAGTTATAAAACATAACAAGACAAACCACACTGACAGTTATGAATCAGTAAAGTCGCATCATACTGTGACTGATACTAATATCAGTAATATCAGTAATAAATGATTGAACACACCACATTATTGATACTAATTCCAGTTATAAAACATTAAAAAGACAAACCACACTGACAGTTATGAATCAGTAAAAAGTCACATCATACTGTGACTGATACTAATATCAGTAATAAATGAAAACACACCACATTATTGATACTAATTCCAGTTATAAAACATAACAAGACAAACCACACTGACAGTTATGAATCAGTAAAGTCGCATTATACTGTGACTGATACTAATATCAGTTATAAATGATTGAAAACACACAACACCACATTACTGATACTTATTCCATTTAAAACATTAAAAAGACACACCACACTGACAGATAGTTAGGCCATGTTGATTTGATTATATGGATGACATCCGCGCGCGCACGAATTTTCGGCCGTTTACCAAAAAAAAAGTTTTCAACCATACTGTAAATCGTACAAAACAGTTGCAAAATGAGCAAAAATATACCATAAGTTACAAAAAAAAATTAATAAAAGCTATACCAATGTCGTAGAATGCCAAAATCAAACGAAAAAAGACGAAATTGTAAAGAAATGAATTTGAAGACTAGATTATTCGCCAAACCATATTCTGTGCCATTTGCTCAACCCTCATGACCACGTAGATTTCATAATGAAAACAACTTTTTTTTTTTGCAAAACTTTTTTTTTTATTCGCACGCTCGCATCAGTTTTGGGGCTCCCGGAGGATGTCATCCATATAATCAAATCAACATGGCCTTATGAATCATTAAAAAAAGACACATCATACTGTGTCTGATACTAATGTCAGCTATAAAACATTTAAAAAACGACACCATATTGACTGATACGTTAGTTAATTAAAATGTAAAACAATACACATCACCCTGTGACTGATACTAATGTCACTTATAAAACACAAAAAGGCACACTAATTTCTAGACAATTATAGTGGCTACTAGTAGTACTACATATATTTACGTGAAGCTCTTTCTCTTTATCAGCAATCCTTGTTTGTAGATTTCTAGGTCTGCACATTTTTTTCTGTTTGCTTAAAGCTTGTTTTGTATTTGGTTGGTTATCTGGTAAGTGCTTCTCACCATTGGAGTTGTTCTGGTGCAATGCTGGTCATATGTTCAGGAAACGTGCATTTTTAAATACTAGTACCTACATTCCCAGGATGTTTTCGCGTTTTATGACCCTTTAGAATCCAGTCTTCTGCTGCTTTAAAGTCACACTGGTCACATTTGTACTTTTTCTCCGTGTGTTCTCGTTGCATGTGTTTGTCGAGAGCCTTCTTGGAGCGTGGTTTGTGGCTACATCCTTCCACCTGACAGGGGAAGTAAATGGGAGTGTTGGCACCTGATCTCGCAGCAATAGTCATTACCGTAGGATCGCTTGACCCTGGACCAGTACTAGCCCAAGGTGCTTCTCCTGAACCGGTCGTATTTTCATAAGTCGGACGTGACTCTTGCTTGACAGGATTCCCCGTTGTAGCCAAATTCGACATGGTTGTTTCTTCACCTGTGTTGCTTCTCTTAGACATGCTCGCTCCGATGTTGGGATCTTGAGTTTGTTTCCTCTTCACGGTTACACTGGGGCTTGGACTCTGATCAACAAACACTACTTCTGGCGTGCCCTGGCCCAATGATGTATCTGATGGTTTCTGCATCTGTCCGTCATCACGTGTTTCCTTTACACCAATATAACTTGTCCCCTGTGCTTCAGTGGGTTCCTTCTCATCTGTTTCCTCTTCTTCAGCATCAGTTGTTCCCTTTGCTCCAAAGGGTGTCTCCTTCGCTGGTCTAGCCTCGCTTGTTTCCTCTGTTCCAGGTTCTTCATGCATTAGTGTGTTTCTTATGTTGTTTCCTAAATTCACTGAACTTGCCTGCCGGCTAAAGTACTCCTTCCCCATCTCCTCCCAGAGCTGTGCTATCAGACTTTCTTTGGTGGATTCCCCAGCGGGAGTTACGTTCCTCCGGAGCAGCTCGTACCGTAGATCGTCTGGGTCCAGCCTGGGTAGCACAGCCAGGGACACCTCTCCAGACAGACTAGACGCCGTCACTCTGCCCTGTCTAAAGAATAGCATTATCAGGCGTTGTTCCATATAGGAACACATATAAAGTAACACACATATGATGACGTTAGCTTGTGTTATACGTTACTGTACGTTACGCCATTGTATGTTATGTTATGTTTTTTAAAACATTGCCCATTCTCTTACCCCTGTCTGCTCGCGATGTGCCCATCTATTTCACGCCGGAGCTGGATGATCATGTCTTGATTGCTGGCCCCTTCAGCAGGAGGAATGCCTCTCCTTTGTAGCTCAAGGATGAGCTCCTCCTTGATTAACTTTGATCGCACCACGGCTGACGTCACACTTGGGGACAGACCGCATGTCACATTTGTCGCCTGTCTGCAGTAGATGGAGGGGAAGGAATTATCACGTGTAACCATGTGTCAGCTGCAGGTGCTTTCATACCTAAGGCCACAGTTGTGGTGCCTAATGGGCACTATGGACAGTGATGGGAATCGGCAGTACCAATAGGAAATCAGGATTCTTGGTCATTGTGAAAATCAACCCAATAAGAGCTCAGTATTCTTGATCACTGGAAATCAGCCCAGTAGTAAAGCCCTATCACACATTCACAAATATGACTTCCCTTACACTGCCCCCAATTATGGTTAGGAGTAGGTCGGAACGCTACTATTCGGCTGCTCCAGCAGAATGTTTCAAAATGTTAAAAACGTTCGGGGGTTGGTCGGGAACTTCTGGAAGTTTGGCTATGGTTGCATTGGCTTGTGTTCGGCTGTAGGTCAGCAAAACATCAGCCAAACATTCAGGAGTAAGTTAGCAGTGTTCGGGGCGCGTGTTTGGGGGTCAAATTTGACTCTTACCATGTAACAGCACGGTGATAACAGACAGTTCTCAATCTAGCATCTATTTGGTCATGTTAGCACATGTATAAATTAACAGGATAGAAAGCTCTTCGATTTTCTTCTAATGACTTAGAGGTGTTGGCCATATTTCTAGGAGCCTATGAAATGACTACTACAAGTAGTTATGGTAGGAAAATATCTGCCACAAAGAGATCACAACAGAGTTTCTCCTTGACCTAACTTTGGATCTTGAAAAATTCTTCAAAAACTTACCTCGCCTCCTTTCTTGTTGAGGACTGTACGCCATCCGTAGAACAATCAGGGACATCCATGATACGTCGTTCCTCGGTTTTCCTAGGGCAAGTGTGAGGTAGATTGTCTACTTATTTATTTAAATTTGACCTACGTAAGCAAATTTCATACCATGGCTTTTGTATTTTCACGATGGATAGATTGAATTGAAGGTAAAAAAGAACAGAAAAATTTCGACAATCATCAAAGTAGTAGGTCAAGCTTAAGGTGCACGTCATATGCCACTCATATCTTTTTGCTACCAAGTTGGTTTTGACATGTTTTGATCTTAATGCTCTAATGTCAGCTGTTTGGGACAAACGTGCTTCAAGGATCACTAAAACTATGAACATGCATACAGGGTATCAACATTTCAAAGATAGAATCATTGTAACTTTGCTAATGTTGGTGTTCGACTAGATTTCCTTTGCATTGTACCTGGTCCTGATCCGGGATGGCAAGGAGACTGGATTTGGACTGATCCGGGATGGCGAGGAGACTGGATTGTGAGTGATCTTGGATGGCGAGGAGACTGGATTTGACCTGATCCTGGATGGCGAGGAGACTGGATTTGGACTGATCCGGGATGGCGAGGAGACTGAATTTGGACTGATCTTGGATGGCGAGGAGACTGGATTGGGAGTGATCTTGGATGGCGAGGAGACTGGATTGGGGGTGATCTTGGATGGCGAGGAGACTGGATTGTGAGTGATCTTGGATGGCGAGGAGACTGGATTTGACCTGATCCTGGAAGGCGAGGAGAAAGGGTTGGGACGGCCAAGATCTAGCACAGCAAAGACTGGCCTGTGATCAATGATCTGGTCAGATGGAATCTTACACGTCTCTGCTTTTGGCCCTGTCTCTGTCCAGTGTTGTATACACGCTTCCAACGTCATCACCCAAGGACAGATGTTGGGCATGAAGGATATTAATCAAATCAGACGTGAATATGAAGTAGTCGATTGTTTCCCATCCATACGATGTTGGGATTGTCAGTCCAGGGTAACTGTCATCGATGTTACCACATGCCTTGTCAAGTCTCAAGTTGAAATCCCCACCGATGACAAGAGCTTGGCCATCATTTGTAACTGTCTGTGTTTTCAAAAAGGCAAGAAGATCTCGGAATATGCGCTGTTTTTCTGCTTCAGAGCATTTGTGTGGTCCGTGCCAGGAGATGGCAATAAAGTTTGACACATTTGGTGCCTCCTCCTCTGCGATGTCGCTACTTGCTGTAAGCTCGGTAGGCTTGATTGACATTTCAGATATGCATACCCGTGCGCGATGTTGGATTAGATTTGGGTACTTGTCTCCAATTAGCTTGTAGGAGTCTAACCGTTTCAGTTCAAACAGTTCGCTATTCCAGATTATCCCAGCTTCGTTGATTACTCCTGTGTAGCAAAACGTTTCACCTAGCTGAAGCTGTTCAACTGGATCACGCCAAGGACACTCTTGCACAAAAAGGATTGATACACGTGTCTGTCCTTGAAGCTGACCGAGCAGAAGTTTACGTAAAGCTGCATTACCAGTGCCTCTTGTGTCTCCCTTAAAGTTGACGGAAGCAATGCCGTACCTGTAGGGATGTCGCCCTTGTTCCGTGATGGCAGTTCGCATCAAAGCCTCGTTCAACTCTTCAGCATCATCCTCACTACTCTCACTTGATCGTTTCTTTCTGCCTTGCGAGACAGCTTGTAATGTACCGGGGGAGATTTGCTCAGGCTGGTAGACTGGATTTGGTTGCAGTGCCATTTTCAATTACAGAAATGATGGCGGACAGAGGTATAGTGTTCAACAACCTTGTCCCTGGATAAACAGATCGGTTCCCATGGTTGCACTGCTAAACTCTGATCCACAAGACACTGGTGTAGTCTTCTGAAGACGGCCTGCAACGTTTTGAAAGAATTGGAGTATATCTACGATCTTTTCTGTCACGACCAGTGGAGGGATAGCTCTTTCGTGAGCTAAACTGGTTCGAGATCACTTTCACTTTCAACCTATATAGGCTAATTAGCTAATTAAGCAGAGACAGTGCCTGTACTTACTATACTAGTATACTATATGCAAGTTACCACTGACTGAGAGGTGACATTCAACCATGTCACTGTTGTATTCTAACGCCAATTTTGTTGGCAAGAAAGAAGAATTAAAGCTCACCTTTCGCAAAATAATGGCGACGCTGACAACACCAGCAAAACGAAGCTTAGCGTTGGTCTCGATGCCTTCCGGGGTACACACCCCGATTCTTCCGCGTCACTGAGGTCCAAAAAGTAGTGCGTGGTAAATCTGAAGTGAATAATTTGCTGGGCTATTGTTTGGGGCTATCGCTTGAGATGTAAAAATTATCTGATGTATCTATGGGCATTCAAATGTTTTATTTTGGGTACAAATTGAGTTGAGAAGGCGAACTTCAATTCCGTCAGGTATCCTTGCGCCTTCAACTGCGCTCAGCAGCAGCAGATTGACCTCGAATTTGCTATGCTTCGTGAAGCACACAACAGTGTCTCCATTACAGAAAGTTATTCAGCACCCGTCTACATGTACACATGAGAATGGTCACAAGGTGTTTTCACAACTGACAGGAATGCTTTGTCAGACTGTTGCTTTACCACTCACTCAACCAAGCTAACACCTGTTCACAAATTCAGCCTTCCTGTTCACAAAGTCAGCTTTCCAGTCCTTCCTGTCAACAAGCCTTCTTATACACTATCAACATTATGTGCTGTCAGTGGCAATTGCCGATTTTCTTTGCATAGTATCCAACACCAAGACACTGTTTGTAACACAATTTGATACTCCAAGTACGCTGCTCGGTTGTTTACCAAACGCTACGGTCGGTGACAATGAACACCTGGCTCAGAAATTGACGGTAAGATTAAACTTCGTGTCTTAAGGATTTTTCGATCTATAGCTAAAATATTTCTACGGCCGAAATAAGGTGTAAAAATCATTTTTCCACACCCAAAGACGTGTAATTTAAAATTGTCACCAACTTATAGAAAACCCTTAGGCGAAAAGTCTACAGATATCAGTTGCTGATAATTTAAGCCCCTAGGTAAATAATTATAACGCTTTTGTGGGAGTTCTAAACTGCATGTTTGAACGCATGGCATGGCACATGGCACATGGAATAGTAACTGATATCGATGTTAACATATCTTTCAATATCTAATGTCACTAAACATGACGCCAATCGTTACATGTTTCATTTTCCAAACAAAAGACCAGCTTTGAGTCAAAGCAGTGTTAAAAGACAACTCAGAGGCAAGACAACTAATAGGGTGTACTACTAGAATATCAGTGATCTTTACTTGAACTCTAGTTATTGGTATTTTGGTGGTCGCTATGATTAGTGTTGACGAAAAATACACCTTTGCTTGCGGGACCCCAGCCTGACTTTATTTGGTACTGCAGCAGAAATGACATTACATGGTACTTGTATCTTCAAACTTTATTGAAATCAACAGAACAACCATGTACATGGCATTGTACATGCCCGAATGGCGCTGAATTTCACAGGTTACACTATGACTGATACTAATATGAGTTATAAATGAATGAAAACACATCGCATTGAAATGAAACCACACCACATTACTGATACTAATTTCAGTTTTATAAACATTAAAAAGACACACCACACTGACAGATATTGTCAGTTATGAATCATTAAAAAACGTCACATTATGTGTCAGATACTAATGTCAGCCATAAAACATTAAAGAAACGACACCACACTGACTGATACTTACGCTAGTTATAAAATGTTAAAAATACACATCACCCTGTGACTGATGCAAAATGTCACTTATGAAACATAAAAAAGGCATACCAATTTCTAGACAATTCGAGTGCACGTGGCTACCAGTAGTACTACATGCATTCATGTCATGTGAAGCTCTGTCTCCTTTCAACAATTCTTAATTTATAGATTTCTAGGTATGCTCACTTGTTGTTGTTTTTTTCAGTTTTTTGTTTGTTTTGGTGCAACTCACAATTGGCGTGGTTCTGGTGCAATTTTATTTATCTATTTATTTTATTCATTCATTTGCATTAGGCCCATGGCCCATATCAACAAACATAGTACATACAATTAAAAACAAATCTAAAACTATCTGGAGAAGACTAGGTCCAAATAATGCCACCAGAACGTACTGTGGTGGAAGGCATCGGAATGCACAAGGAGATGGATAATCTCATTGACGACAACAGACGGGAAACGAATGAGTGGGTAACCTTACGGCGTTTAGCGTCAAACGTGTCTGTCCGGTTCTTAGCAAACAGATAACTTGTACTTGCATACCTGCCAGCACAAAACAACAACTTAAAAGCACTGTGGTATGCCACCCGTAGTTTGGATATTGCTCCCACACTGTACATAGACAACAATTGTGCGCAGTACACTGGCGAACTGAACGCCGAGAACAGGAACCTTTTAACCTCTGCTGAGCTGTAGCGAAATCGTCTAAGTAGCGAATTAGCTCGGGCATAAAAACCCCTGACATGTGCTTGGTAATTGGATGGCCGAATCGTCACAGAGATCCGGAGTGATTGAATATCCAAGGTAAGTGGCGGACGAAACATACTTAAGGTCGGACCCGTACAGCGTCAGCGTCGGAGGTATAATGTTCATACGGCGACATGGAAAAAGCATACATAAGGTTTTTGTTTCGTTAAATATCATATCGATGTCATGATGTAGTCATGCTAGTCATGCACAATTTGCTAGTCATGTAGTACAGCAAACGTGCATTTTAAATCCCTCAATTTGCGGGATGTTTTCTCGTTCTATGACGCTTTAGACCCGACTGGTGTGCTGTTTTAAAGTCACACTTGTCACATTCGTACTTTTTCTCGGTGTGTTCCCGTCGCATATGAGTTTCCAGAGCCCCCTTGGAGCGTGCCTTGTAGTTACACCCTTCCTCCTGATAGGGGAAGGAACTGCTGGCACCTGTTCTCTCAGCACTAATGCCCGGAGGAACGCTTCTTACTGGACCAGCACCAGTTCCAGGTGCTCTTCCTGACTCATGCCTGACAGGATTCCTTG